AGTTAATCCACCTTGAAACATAAACTTTTACTCGTTTATAATAACACTTTGTAAACATTTCGGCACAAATAGAGCGGCTAAGATTGGCCAGTGGCTGCCTTGTGTGCAATCCTGATGCTATTAGCCAAAAATATATTCTCAGATATTTCGTATCCAAGACGAATAGTGCATAGCGGAAGCAAAGAATCAAACACGAAAATCCCTCTGGCTATTCTTAAATCCTGGACGCTAAATATTTTAGTTAAGCATGTTCAAAATGTTTTATAAAAATTCTCGAGTTATATTTATTATCTTTCTTTCTTTTTTGATATGAAATAAATCGATCATATAGTTAAATGTCAAAATAAAATAGAGACACTTTTAAAAAAGTAGTTTAAAATCCTGTAACGAAAAAATTAATCAACATATTTTAAATAAGTATTGTTTGATATAAACTTAATTTTTCAAAAGCAAAATTATTTTTTAAAAACTTGGTGGTATATATTTTGTACCAACAACATTTTTGTAACACGCATATGTGTACCACTCAGAGAGAAGGTTCTTGTTTACTTTTTTTCAGGAGAATGCGGATAGGCATACCTACATTCCACTTTGCAATTATGCTGTTAATTTCGGTGTTTTCTACTTTGATATTAAGTTGTACGATAAAGGTGTATATTATGGCTGGTCCACAACATTTAACTCGCCATTTGACAGGTGAAGGGGCCATCAGAGTAATTGCGCTGATTGAAGATGGACGAAGTCAAAGGTACGTGGCGGATTTATTAGGTGTACAACAGAGTACCATTTCAAGAGTTGTTCAAAGGCATAGGAATACTGGACGGTACTCTAGAAGAAAGGACAAAGGTCGTCCTAGAGTTACAGCAGCTCTAGATGATCGTTTTTTACGACTTTCAGCCCTAAGAACACGACACTGCACTGCTCGAATGCTCCAGAATGACCTTTTAGCTGTTCAGATTTGCGTACAAACCATACGTAATCGTCTTCGAGAGTATGATATACGTGCAAGGGTTCCAGCCAGTGGCCCGCGTCTTACCAGAGAACATCGAGTTTGCCTTTTACAATTTGCTAGAGATCATGCTGGATGGGGTGTAGAAGAATGGTCCAATATCCTCTTTACAGACGAGTCCAGATTTTGTTTGTTCTTTTCTGACAGACGTATGCCAGTATACCGAAGACCAGGCGAACGACATTACCAATGCAACTTTAGTGAAAGGAAAAGTTTTGGAGGTGGGTCAATAATGGTATGGGGAGGAATATCTTTTCATGGGCGAACGGAGTTAGTAGCTGTTAATGGTGGTAGGATGACGGCTGAGCGATACAACAAGTTAGGATGGAATACGCCTTCAAAAGGGAATTCTGGCATCTGCATACCTCCCCTCCGACACAACTACGCCACCACCCAGCAAAGAGATGGAGGATCTGATGGAATACTGCCTAGAACAGAATTTTAAGCTGGTAATAGGTTGCGACTCAAACGCTCATTACTTGAGTTGGGGCAGAAAGGATAACAACGCAAGGGGGTACAATAAGCCTAGAGCTTCAGCACAAGTGGGCTTTGAACCACGCCCTAATTCAGATGATGAAGATGATGATGATAACAACGCAATAGGTAAGTCACTTTATGATTATATAATTACCAAAAATCTTTGTATTTTAAATGAAGGTACCACACCAATATTTTTAAACTCTCGCAGTCAAACACTGATAGATATCACTTTATCCACAACTGGTATCTATAAATCAATTCTAAACTGGCAAGTGTCTGATAACATTTCGATATCAGACCATCGCTGGTTAACATTCAAAATAAACTTGATGTTGCCGACCTTAACGCTATCTGGGAACCCTAGGAAGACGGACAGGACAATATATTCCCACCTTCTCCAAGAGGCTCTTAGAGAGATAGAGGCCGAAACACCAAACAATAATGCTGCTTTGGAAAAGTACACGAACACTACCCAAAGCACAATAAACATTGCCTATAAAAAATCCTGTCCTCTGAGTTGGATCACCTCAGGAAAATGGCTTGGAAATATTTTAGTAAGGCAAGAATCACAAAACTGGGACTGAGATACAAATCTCACCTCAGAGAATACAAAAAATGGTCAGACAAGATGAAAGATGCATGGAGATCCTACTGTGAAGAAATAGAAGATGGCGCAAAAACTGCCAACCTCGAAGATAGCATCAAACTTCTGCTGTCAACACACTTCCCTGACTCGGTCAACACAGACGTGGCCGACTGGGCAGAGGAAGAATACAATCCATCTGTCTATGATTGGCAAACTGCCAAACACATTGTAGACGATGAAAAAATTAGATGGGCAATATCCAGCTTCTCTCCATTTAAATCGCCAGGACCTGAGGGTATCTATCCAGTCCTACTTCAGTGGGGTCTAGAAAAACTCACACTACACCTGGTGTGTATATTCAGATCCTCGTTGGCTCTGAGGTATATCTACAAAAAATGAAGAGAGATAAAAGTGGTATAAATACCCAAACCTGGAAGGATGGATTACACTGTCCCAAAAACATACCGACCAATTAGTTGACATCATTTTCAGTGAAGACATTGGAAAGGCTATTTGAAAGGTACATAAGGGTTGCGGTGATTACAACAACACCACTACACCCAAACCACTATGCATACACCCCAGGCAGATCTACTGATTCAGCCCTTCATCTAGTCGGATATAAAGATCCCTGAACAATAAGGAGTCCGCCTTGGATGTTTTCATAGACATAGAAAGTGCTTTTGATAAAATCACTTAAGTTAACATGGAACTCGAATTTAGAAAACAGAGTTAAAAGAGCATACATTGCTTATGAACAATGCCGCCGAACGGTGGGGCGCACCTGGGGTTTTTTCCCCATAGTCGTGGCATGGACTTATACGGCTATCATAAGACTATGCTAACATACAATGCAATTGTCTAGGTACCAGAAACCCAAAAATTAACAGCTATCCATAAACTAGAACAAATTCAAAGGACAACATTTCTCAACATAACAGGAGCCTTAAAACAACACCGACCAGAGCCATGGAAGTCATTCTTAGTCTCACTCCCCTTGATATTTATATCAAGGAGGTTGTTATGACGACAATGACACGCCTCCGCACGGTTGGAATAGAACCTGATGTAGGATGTGGTGAGACGGGACGTCACTTTTAGCAGGAGGCGCTTGATACACTCCCACTGCTTCAAGCGAACATGGACTCTGTCACCAAAATATATCTTCCATAAGCCATATAAAGTTATAGTAGAACAAATAGAAGAGCCGCAAGCGGCAGGTACGATTCATATCTAAACCGAGATTCTAAAACAAAACAAGGCTCATAATGTGAAATATACTCCAGATTCTTAAACCTAAACAGAAAATGGACTGTAAGTAATAGTGCCCGTGTAATTCAAACAGAGCTAACGGGGACTCTCATAGCAGCAAAAGAAATAACCAGAAACAATATCATTGGAAGGAACATGCTCATCTATACACATAGTAGACAAGCACTACTCACCCTGAACAGACCACGAATTTACTCAGGATTAGTACTAGAATGTCACAAAGCTTTGGCATGTCAAATTGGGAAGTGATAGACCTAATCAAAGAACATTCTTTGTGAAATTCAAGGAAAGATGGGATGAAACAAGAAACTGCAGATTTGCCAGGGAGCTCTTAAGTTATCCTGTCAACACTGCAACAACTATGACTAGACAGAATCTGCGGCTAGTTACAGGCATTTTGACTGGTCATTGCCAAGTACGAAAGCATCTCCATATCATGAGGCTGTCAGAATCCGCACTCTGCGGAGGGTGCAAACAAGAAGATGAGACCATCGAGCATATTCATTACGATTGCTCGGCGCTCTCAGTTATTAGAAGATTTGTTTTCAGTATCGTCTAACAGCGGCCGATATAAGCGAAGCACCTCTTGGCGACGTTGTCAACTACATTAAATCTGTAGGCTGGCTCACGATCTAGGAGGTGCCTATCATCTCAGGAGGACGCAAAATGGGTCTAATGAGGCCTAGGTGTCGTGGTGGTAACCCACCCTCCACACATTATAGATACAGAAGATACAGAGCAGTCGTGACCAACCTCTTTCCAATCAGAATTCCTCGTCCAACCTCTTCATCGTAGTTTCAAGGTTCCATCATTACAGGTGTTCCTGTACTATAATGCCGTATCTTTCTGTGCAGCAACTTGCATGAATGTATGAATAACCTCTTCGGCACCAACTTTGATCACTCTGTTCTTAGAGTCTAACTGGAAACCATGTAAGTTCATTACGTCCATTCCAAGAATAACATCTTCTTTGATATCAGCGACAATAACAGTCTCAGTAAACTTCTCTGTACATTTTTCATTTCATTTTTTATTTTTCATAGAGGAAACATAAGAATAAACTTTAGTTTCTAATGAAGAAATATTAGAAGACATATTGGTTTTCAGAAAGATCATCTTTCTTTCCATATCGGAAAAAATAGAAGAAATTATAGCAGAAGATGTATCATCCGAAAATAAATATGTTTCCGGAACCAAATCTTCACTTTCTGTTGCTTCTTTAAGTCGTTTTGCCAGCTCTGCTTTCTTTCCTATTTAAACCACTTAGTTTTTTTAGCCATTATTGTCCACTATTTATTAACAGTTCCACTTCTAACACCAATGTTACGTTTATTTTAATTTATTTCTAACTTATTTATTTAAAACATTTTACAATTTATTTATGATTAATTTATATAATACTTAGGCACTATTATAACTTACAATTCTAATTACAATTTATCTTTTCTGTTTAACACTTAAACTCAATGTCTCCCCTATCGACGAAGTCGCGGCTATTTGTATAAAGCCAGCTCTGTACCAGAACACTCTAGGCGACCTAGAAGCCTCGAAAAACCCCCTCTCTGACTTATACTCCTCGTCACAATATGATAAAATGTTCTCGGCATCGTTGCAAAGGACTGTTTTAGTTAAAAATCAATTTATTTTTCTATATTAGTCTCCCTTTAATCCAGTCCTGAAGTACGATTCTGATTCATATACCGCTGCTATTACCTCTTCATTTAATCCAAAACGTTTTCCATCCACATATTTTTTTAGTTTTGGGAATAGATGAAAGTCAGGATCCAAATCTGTTTTATAACGTAGTGACAATAATTGTCAGTCTCCAGAAAATATTTTTGAATCACTCCGTACATAAAAAAATCCATTCATATTTTTTATTTCTTTTTGCACCGCTTTAAATGCCGCTAGCCAGACATTCTGTTAAGTTAAATAGAAATACCCCAACGAAATATTAGTACAAACATTGGCAGAGCTCTTAGGCTATAATACTTGGATAAGTTTAATCGTATTGTTAAGAATATGGCGGTTTGTGAATTGTGATAGGGTTAAGTATATTGAGGCACTCAGTATCAATCCTAGCTCAATTCAATTTAATAACAAAACGAGAAATGCTGCATTTGCTCGTTCTCTTTCTTACATATGTATCTGGTTATTATTGGATAGTTTTCCTAATTATTATAGAGGATGATTCATAAGTCGTTTTATAATATGGTATAGAACTATAACAGAGCTGGATAAAATACTTTCAAAAAGTTGTTGAGTAAAACTACTAAATACTTTAGATAACAAGGTCGTTTAATTATAATGTAGTTAAAATAATCCTACTCAAAACTAGTTTAACAACGAATAACTAGTAGTAGTATATTATTTGTGTTCATTTTCTATGTTTAAATATAAAAAGATTTGATTAAAAAAAAAAAATATATATATAAAACAATGAAAACAAATTTATAAAACAATAAAAAATACTTTTATAAAGCAATAATAGTATATTACACACCCAGGTGGGAAGAGTTTCATTCCTGTCGTGAAGTTAGATCACCGAGACGCGAAGCGTCGAGGTTAGCTATGATCTCGAGACAGGAATGAAACTTCCTACCGAGGTTTGTATACTATTTTATTTACAACCATCATATTTCGATCAAAGTTAATAAATCTCTGTTTTATTCTGAACATACCTAAAATATTACATTTAACGACAGAATAATCAAGTAGGTAAATATATTGTTACTGTGATTACGGGATAAACAACTGTAACCAATATAAATAAATGTCAGATAAAGCCGGATGTTAAATTCGCGAATAATAAATATCAATAAGTAGTTTGTTATATTTTAGATCATTGTTGTTTTTTATTGTTTGCCATTAAATAGGTATTATAAAATTTGTCAAACACTGTGTTATTATTTTTTTAAATATAAAAAAATATTCATCTAGAATAGATGAAATGAGGGCGGGAAGTAGAGGTGTGTAATGTGACACTTCCCAACCTTCAATGACGTAAGTAATGACAACATTACATATATGGTTGTAAATAAAAATATTTGTAATTATTAGAAAACAAGCATTTCTATAAAAAAACGCATTTACAAAAAACAAATTAAAAACTTTCTCATACTGTTTCAGAAATAATTGTATGACTATTGGCTTTTGAAAGTACCATCTGATTAAACAGTAACTCTGGTTAACAGATTGACGGTGGCTTGTTAACGTTTATAAACTCGGTTTTCGTGTAACTACCTATTTATTTTATTATATTATACGATTCATATTCATATATACTTTGCTTGTGTTGGCATGAATAGTAAATGGCGTGAACATGTGCAGGAGAGGAAAGGATATAGCATATGTGCTACCAGTTATAGGTTGGTAAAAACGCTATCAATTATCAATTGGTGACTCGACCTGTGTTAAAATTAGTAAGTAAAGACATTTGTCTGCTTTCCATCATTTAGCAAAGAATTGTGCAAACATGTTATGTTATAATGAGAATGGGGTGTTAATACACTGCGACTTTTGTGCCCCCTTCTGTATCCAATGCACTAAGGAAATGTCTCAATGCCTATAACGACCCTTCCAATCCTATTTTCTCAAGGAAGTGTAGGATTTGAAGTGGCTTCAAGTTAGGTAAATCTCCCTCCTCTATTTGATACCCTCCTAGATATAATGCCCTTGGATTCTGCAGTGCTACACATTCAGTTAGGATGTGAATGGAGGTTTCGTCCTCCTCCTCACAGAATCTGCACTCACTATCCTCTACTACTCTCAGTTTACTTAGGTGTCCTTTTAGTCGGCAATGCCCGGTGAGGATCCCTGTTACAATACGTAGCCTGTTCTTGCTCAGGCAGATGCAGGCTTCACATTGGTCTGCTTTCCATCATTTAGCAAAGAATTGTTCAAACATAAATTGCTAGTACTCACAAGATGATGTATTTAAAAATATTTAAGTAATATGGTTTTTCGGCCAACATTTAAAGTTTGAGGTTAAGGTAGGTGGGAGAAAGCTCCGCGAACGTAAAACCTGTTAAAAATAAATGTAATACATCTATCCATAAAAACAATAAAACATTGAATCATCCTATATATACAAAGATTCCAATTTATCTTTTTAGACAAAACAAAGTTACGTTTGTATACATCAACATAATATGAACTTAAATAATCAACTGTTCAAATGATTTGTTAATACTCCTTAGATTTTAAACAAAAGCCGCCAACAATAAACAGATATTTTCGCGTTAACGATTTTTTAAGTGAAAGTTGTTAATGATTTGACTTTGATTTTGCAATTTTTAATTTTAAAAGAAAATATTTGATATTTTTCGATAGATGAATATTTTTTTGTTGAAAGATTTCAAAATAAATCGCTTTATTAGTTTAAGTGAGAAACAGAAAATAAAGTTGCTAAAAAAATAACTAAAAGAAAAGAAAATTGTTACTTATTTATATAGGGTGTTTACAATGAAATAAGCAAGGATATAAAATTATTTTTTCTAATTTTGACATATAAAATAATTTTGTAATCGCAGCAAGTGTCAAAACGATTTATTTTATGCAACTGATTACAAATTTTTTATGTCACCAGTTACGAAATAAAAATAAATAAAAATACCTTTTTTGGTTTTTAAATCGAAAAATCGAAAAATCGAAAAATCGAAAAATCGAAAAATCGAAAAATCGAAAAATCGAAAAATCGAAAAATCGAAAAATCGAAAAATCGAAAAATCGAAAAATCGAAAAATCGAAAAATCGAAAAATCGAAAAATCGAAAAATCGAAAAATCGAAAAATCGAAAAATCGAAAAATCGAAAAATCGAAAAATCGAAAAATCGAAAAATCGAAAAATCGAAAAATCGAAAAATCGAAAAATCGAAAAATCGAAAAATCGAAAAATCGAAAAATCGAAAAATCGAAAAATCGAAAAATCGAAAAATCGAAAAATCGAAAAATCGAAAAATCGAAAAATCGAAAAATCGAAAAATCGAAAAATCGAAAAATCGAAAAATCGAAAAATCGAAAAATCGAAAAATCGAAAAATCAAAAAATCGAAATTTTGATAGTGTGGATAGCAAGTTGGTGGTTCGAGCTCCGATTCTTTTTGTTTTTTTTTGTTTTTTTTTTGTTTTTTTTTGTTTTTTTTTGTTTTTTTTTCCTAAAAAAAAGGAAAAATATTATTGTTTTATTATTTCACGGTCTTGGTAATTTAAAATGTTTAGTTTTTAAAAAGTATATACTTATTCAATGCATAATGGCGCATAACGAGGTTCATTCATTTTTATGTTGGCCGGCAATTAAACCCCGGAAAAAGTGTCTGCCTTTTTGGAATTAATTTTTTTATATTTAATAAAGACGCTATTAAAATTTCAGCGTGATTCAAACACTTTAAATCATATTTTTAAAAAATCAACTTTGAGGTGGATTTATCAATTATAAACCCTCTCAAAAGTGTCTGCCTAAATTACTAGTATTTTTAGAATTACCTAAACTTTAAATTGTTGTTTGTTGGCCTCTGAATCAAACACTTTTTGGGTCATATTTTACGACCCCTTTCTATTATGAGCAGTACCTGGTGTCCCGGGGTGGGTCTAGCCAACACAGGTACTACTTTTCCATCCAAATGATTTCAAATTACAAAATTTCAAAGTGCATCAAACACTTAATGAAATGTATGTAACTAGCTCTCCGGCTATATATCGCATACAGCTATCGTACACTGTTCACTGTGATTTTCTGTATATTATAATTTGTTTTCTTGGTACCAAGAAACAATTTTATTACTAAAATTGTTTAATTTTGAGGATCGTTGAAACTTTTGATCCTCCTCTCAATTTGGATGGTACCCCCCTCTTTTTTTTAAACATCTCTCCAAAAAATCACAATTACTATAACCAATTCAATTTTTTTTTTACAAATTTATAACTTAAACACATTTCACATAGTGGGTGATATTCTTCCTGATGCTCAAAGCACACCAATCAGGAATCCATATCAATAGGAAAATATAGGAAAATATAGGGAAATATAGGGAAATATAGGGAAATATAGGGAAATATAGGGAAATATAGGGAAATATAGGGAAATATAGGGAAATATAGGGAAATATAGGGAAATATAAGGAAATATACGGAAATATAGGGAAATATAGGGAAATATAGGGAAATATAGGGAAATATAGGGAAATATAGGGAACTATGTGGAAATATAGGGAAATATATAAAATTTTATGCAATAATTTTGCCGAAATCACAGAAATCATATAACATTAAGAGAAATTTCAGCAAAACCGTATAAATTTAAGAGGAGTTTCTGAAAAATCACCAAAAACGTGTAAAATTAAGGTGGATTTCTGCAAAATCACCGAAATCATACGAATTTCAGGTGATTTCCGAAATACAGGTACGTTTTCACCTTAGTGGTGCCGATCTATTCATAAATTTAAATAATGTAAATTTCTTACCTGTATAAATAGAAAAAACTCCACCCATTGGTAATATTTTATCTGTTTGACAGCCTTTTTACCGCTATTCTGAATTCCTGCAGACGACAAGCCATCCCTGTTACCTTTTTTATTTTGACCGCCCGTTACTGTGAAAGTCGAATGAATCCAGCAGTACGTATTAAGTACATCTTCAGGAATGTCCCTAAAAAGTTTTTCAAAATGTACAAAAAAGAATAACCGCTAGTTCGTCCTAAGTATGCCCCTAATCTACTCCTAATCCGCCCCTAGTCTTCATCTAGTGGACTATGTTGCTTATACAGATGTGTAAAATTAAGAGTTATGAAGATATAAAAGGAATAATATTTGCACTAATGCCCTAGCTATCAACTTTGTATATGGAGTGCTTTAATACGCGTGTTTAGTGAGCGTCACAAGTTGAGGAAGGTCATAGCCACTGGATGCCAACAGAATAACCATACTGTCAACTGTCATCAATGTCTATGGTTATATTGAAATTATTAAAGGATAATTTTAAAAATGAAAGCAATTTAGTTATTTAACATATTAGAGCATATGGATGTAAGGTATGTAAGGTATGTTTCTTAATCGATTTCATTTTTTTTTTTTTTTTTCAGTAAAATATTTATTTGTCTTTGATTTGAAGAATTTTAACCCAGCTTACTCAAACCCTGGTTTTTAAAGTAGATAAAATTTAATTAATTGACACATTCAAAGCATATAAACGGTAAGTTGATAACCTTCACATGTAATTTTATCAATTTTCTATTGGTGGCTGTCACACTGAAGGAATGAAAGGCGAGGCAGATTTTTTGTTATAAAATATCTAGATTGAAACAAATATTAACTTGTAGGTATACGAGTTTCAAATATCTGAAAAATTGTGAATGAACGGTTCATTAACAGGGATACGTCACCGAAGTTCCTAAATTTAAAGTTATATTTGTATCCAAGATCAGTTTTCTGTGTTATTTTTGTTCCGATGCAATTTTTAGATGTTTTGTCATTGTACTGCACCAAAATGTTGATCGGATCTTATTTATATTCGTATGTTTCAACATGTGTTTTTAACTTGTGCGATTTTTTAATGTTAAAAAATTTCAAAGTGCAATGAACTGGCTAAAAATACATTGGGATGTAAGAAAATGTAACATAATCATTAAATTTTATTATTTACTAGAAAGTACACGAAATAATTACGAGGAGACTATGTTGGAGCAATACAAAAATAACCAGATTTGAATTTTAGTTGGAATAATACCTCTAGAGTCATCTACCGTTACAAAGAAGAAGCTTTGCTTAGAAATATTCGTATAATAGATGCATCCAGTTATACGCACACGTATAAAGAGTTGCCTATCTAATAGGATCAAACACAAAATCTGTGGGATTTAATATATTAAATAACATTAATAAATAGGAATTTATTCCACATTTTGACTCGTATTGTTGTAAATGTTTTCGATATACAAATATATATTATATATTTTTTATAGGATAAATTAAGAAATACGGATTCTTACCTTGCATGTATGCAATCAATAGGATGTCCTACGTACTGCCTAGTAGTAACAGCTAAGGAAAAAGTTATCAAAAGTAAAACAGTAGCATTTGTATTAAATCGAAAAATTGGCGAATCGATTGTATACCCATTTATCTGTAATAAAAAACACAAAAATTGTTCTATAAATATTATCAATGTATATATTAAAATTTATTTACCGATTGAGTAATTTGATAAACCCCTCTAAGTATGTCTCTGGGAAAATTCATACTAGAAGTTTTCTCTCTTCTTGGCGCGCCACCGATTGACAGAAAACTGCTAGGTCTGCCGTTGACACTTTTTCCCTTTCTCAAACCTTGGAAAAATAACCGTTTGTCTTTCGGATTTTTGTTTGGAAAGGTGCCATATTGTTGCAGTTTTGCGTGGTCTAGTGGTTTTTGTTCAGGCATTTGCTATTTGCTGCAACAATAAAAATAATTTTTAATTAATAAATTAGGTTAACAAATGTTTTTAAAAATCATTTATAATTAAACCAGGTGGTGAATACCATTTTAAGGTACGTATAAATATGAAGAGTCGTGCTAAATTCCTTTGAAGTTAAACTAAAAACCGAAAAATGGGAAGCAATTCTTTGTTAAGCCTCCTTCGAGCCTTCTCAATCTGTATCTATAACGTGTGGAGGTTGGATTACCCTTACGGCACTTAGGCCACATTAGGCCCATTGTGCATCCTCCTAAGATGATAGGCACCTCCTAGCTCGTGAGCCAGCCTACAGATTAAATGTAGTTGACAACGCCGTAAAGAGGTGCTTCTCTTATATCGGCCGGTGTTAGCCGATACTCGCCGAACACAAATCTTTTGATAAATTAAAGCGTCGAGTAATCGTAAAGGATATGCTCGATGGTCTCATCTTCTTGTTTGCATCATCTGCAGAGTGCGGACTCTGACAACCTCATGATACGAAGATGCTTTCGTACTTGGCAATGACCAGTCAGAATACTTTTGACTAGGCGCAGATTCTGTCTAGTCATAGTCAAGTATTTGTTTTCTGCAGTGTTGTCAGGATAACTTAAGAGCTCCCTGGCAACTCTGCAGTTTCTTGTTTCATCCCATCTTTCCTTGAATTTCACAAGGGAATATTCTTTAATTAGGTCTGTTACTACCGATTTTGTCAGGCCAATAGAAGGGCAAGGTCCAAAAAGTATTTGGTAGGCTGCTTTCTTGGCTAGTGAATCAGCAAGACGGTTACCTTTGGATGTGACGTGACTTTTGGTTTATCTTAAGGTGACCACATTGTTGATGGATACTTCGGCCAAAGCGTCGTGACATTCTAGTAGTAACCCTGAATAAATTCGTGATCTGTTCAGGGTGAGTAGTGCTTGTTTGCTATCTGTATAAATGAGCATGTTTCTTCCAGTGATATTGTTTCTGGTTATTTCTTTTGCTGCTATGAGAATCCCCGTTATCTCTGTTTGACCTACAATGGCACTATTGCTCACAGACCATTTTATGTTTAGGTTTACGAATCTAAAGTATATTCCACATCCTGAGTCTTCTTTTGTTTTAGAACCGTCGGTGTAGATATGAATCGTACCTGCCACTTCTGGCTCTTCTATTTGTTCTATTATAACTTTATATGGCTTATGGAAGATATATCTCGGTGAGATGGAGTCCATGTTCGCTTGAAGCAGTGGGAGCGTATCGAGCGCCTCCTGCCAAAAGTGACGTCTCGTCTCACCAGATCCTACATAATGTAAATATCAAGGGTTTTGCTTTACTTCGTATTTATAAGCTTTTCCTTTTCTCTGCAAGCAAATCCTCGCAAAAAAAGGAAAAGGTATACACACGCGCGTTAAGTAAAAGCTGCTGCCGAACAAGTTAAAGCTTGCAGTTGCAGGGGAGGGGTCATATTGCGTTATTACTGTTATTATAGTAGTATACCGATACATGTGAGATTGTGTACTGGTAAATATAAATATAGAAAGTTTTAATCGAAGTTTTTATTTTACATTTGATTGAGCTTTGTTCGATATTTGTAACTGAAGATGGCAACTGACGAGGAAGTGTCAGACGACCAATTAGAGCCACAAGACAGCCGTGATGAGCAATCCAAATGTATGTTTATACGTCAGTTCAGTGATGATGTAATTATGGTTCTACTGACAATTAAAGAGATAGTAGATTTTTGAGCGCGTTTTGTTCGGTTTGTTTACCTAAATTATATCGTTTTTTCACTTTTATAAAGATATTCCTAAAGTAAGTAGTTAACATGCATCAAATGTACAATCGTTTAGTTACCAATTAGATACCTTTAAACTATTTTTATTTACAACCATATATGTAATGTCATTACTAACGTCATTGAAGGTTGGGAAGTGTCACATTACACACCTCTACTTCCCACCCTCACTTCCCGCCCTCACTTCCCGCCCTCATTTCATCTATTCTAGATGAATATTTTTTATATTTAAAAAAAAATAACACAGTGTTTGACAAATTTTATAATACCTATTTAATGGCAAACAATAAAAAACAACAATGATCTAAAATACTAACACTAACACTACTTATTGATATTTGTTATTCGCGAATTTAATATCCGGCTTTATCTGACATTTATTTATATTAGTGACAGTTGTTTACCCCGTAATCACAGTAACAATATATTTACCTACTTGATTATTCTGAGAAAACCGCGCGCTTGGTAATTTGTCGTTAAATGTAATATTTTAGGTATGTTCAGAACAAAACAGAGATTTATTAACTTTGATCGAAATATGATGGTTGTAAATAAAATAGTATACAAACCTCGGTAGGAAGTTTCATTCCTGTCTCGAGATCTAACCTTGACGCTTCGCGTCTCGGTGATCTAACTAATCTCACGACAGGAATGAAACTCTTCCCACCTCGGTGTGTAATATACTATTTATGACCTGTAAACAATATTTAGAAATAAACTAAATACAATGAAAACGTATATGTCAAATTTAATGATGTTTTTGTTAAAAGTTTGATTAGAATTAAATGTCAGTGAAACCAAAATGACATCACACCGAACTATCGTATTGCCGAAAGGGTAAAAAAATACCCAGAAATATTAAAAAAATCTCAGCACCCCGCGAAAAAATCGAAGAAGCAAACGGCTATGGAGAAAGTTCTCACAGAGTACAGACAGCTATATGGAAGAGACATGACCTTGTAAACATTAATGAAAAAGGTGGGTAATATGAAGACAAGACTAAAGAAGAAAACCGACAAGAACAAAACGTGTAACAAGCGAAATCCACCATTACTACCATGAAATGAATATTAACCCCACCGTTGCGGAAATCCCAGGTAAGCCAATAAAAGTACAGAAGTCTGTAGATATTTTATGGTATTCAATCACGATATTTCTGCAGGCGGCCTAGAAGTAAGAGAACCATTTCAGTTTAATCGTCATGTCACAGCCCAACTTTCAACACAACCAGGAGCAAAACCTGGCAAACGAAAGTCGGCAACAACTGAAGAAGGAGCCATCGCACATGAAACCGAGGAAACGAGAAAACTATCTAACAGTCAATTTTAGCGGTTAGTGCTGTTAGAACAGCTCAAGGTTGCTTGTCTTGAGCAACAGTACTTTAATGCCAAACTGAAGGAGCGAGACCCACATGCTCCAGCATTTTTCAACGAGAGTGATAAAACATATGAAATCTTGTAATAACACAACTAAGTTTTATTTAAGTTTCATTTTAGAAAATAAACTTCTTAAAATTAAATGAAACATCTACAAAGTAGTCAAAATAAGTTTTTGGACAGTGGCGTAATATTTAAAATTGTTACTTATCCGTTCTGTACGCAACTGGTAACGTTTATTTAACGGATTATTTTGTTGATAGGTGTATCTTATGACACAATTTTTACAGAAAAAGTTTAGCAAAAAAAATGAAACCCACCAATCACAGTTCATATTTTCATTTTGATCACCCAAGTATACTATTATTTTTAAAATTTTAAATAAGTTACAATTCTGTCAAACTAATTGTCAGTATATTTTTTATTGAGTTTAAATAAATATTAATAGTATATTATTAAACGAACAATCTATGGTAGTCATTATTCACGCAAATTGACGTTTGCGTCCCGAGCTGTAGACGAGGGGCGCAAATCACCTGAGTGAAAAATTGCCAAAAATTGCGAGTGTAATACTTTACTTTGTCCACGACTAGTATGATTTCTTTATTAAATAAAAGTTAAGTGTAGAACGGAAAGTTTTTGTCAAATATAGGTAACTAATTGTTGTTGCTTAACAAAGGAATAACTAGGTATTTATCATCACTTATTTACATTAATAATTACGTATATACCGGAATTTTCGAATTTTTTTGAAGGCAAGGATTTAAAATCAAAATTATTAGATGAATTTGGAATATTATCAAAAACCTGGTTAGACATTGAGTCACCTACCAGACAGTGCCAGAATTACAAAAGTGTGAAATTCACTCTAGTGATATATGAGTTACCATATGCTCTTAGTTAGGAGGGAGAATATTGATTTATTATTAAGTGGTCGTGGACAAAATAAGTTATTCGTGTGTAAAATAAATAAATAGTGGCATTTCTATTTTTATTTGGCCTATAATTACAAATAATTCGTTAATTTTAATAAAACTATATGAAGTCTCACTTGCTTTTCATGCGAAAGGGCCGAGTTCAAATCTAGGATGGGGACAAATTAAATTAAATCTTTTTTTTTTTCTTGTTTATTTTATTTTATAAATTAGTAAAAGTCATAAATTATTTTTGAAATAATTGTTTTATCTTAGTAACCTAAAATAATTTTTAATATTGGTAGATTTTCGTTAGTATGCTATACAGGTCGAGTGGATTGTCCATATCGCACTTGACGATTTAACACTCCGCCTACGGCATCGTGCTATTTTAATAGATTGAAACAAATAAAAAACGTGTACAGTGGTACAATTATCACATGTACCTTGGAACAAGTTGTGTTGTTCCTTGATTATATAATAATATGTACATTGAATAAAAAACAATAAAACTGTTTTAATAAAAAAATAAACAAAGAACATATTATATATGTAGGCAAAACGATAATAATCTTTAATATATTATTGAACTCCTTATAGTGAACACGAGGGAATATAAGCATAGGCCTACTTATCTGCATATCTTAAAGGCCACAACATTGGTTTTTGGACTGTTGACAGACATACGACCAGTTTCATCTGTAGTCCAGAAGACATTTGGAAGAACGATGCCAACACTTTTATGCACATCATCAATGTTGATGAAAAATAGTTTTATATTTGTTAAAACTAGTCAGGCTTAAGGCTTTAGGCTTTAGGCTTTTTTACTGCAAGGAATTTTCTTGGACCATACATAAAGTGTTTTATTTATTAAATTCCTTGTTACGTGAAATTAATTTTAAATTAATTTCAAATTTATT